TCCTAAACCTCAGACATTCTTGCTTAAAAGCATGCCCCATAAAAAGCATCATCAAAACCCTTCCCAGCACCGGGAACACAATTGGTGCTGCTGTTGATTTGTGTTGCCTCGTAGGAATGTCGGTCACAAAGAGGGAGAAGGCTAACCCTGCTGCCTTAGCTGTGTTAATTTGGCTCTTGCTAGGGAAGGTCATACCATGTCAGTGTTCCCCTGGGAATTTAATTCTTCATCATAATCATATTTGCCATTGACCATTGTCCAATGGAGTTTCTATTGTTGGTCTTGTCATGGAAGTTGGCATGCCCTCTCTTTTTTCCCTTGGCATGCATACTGTGGCTTCATTACACTGGTATTTGTACTCTTTGCTCCCCACTGTATCGTTTAGTGAGGGCAACATATGGCCCCATGCTATTAACGAACAGTTTTGGTGCTTAATTCAACAGAACCATGAAAAAGGAGCCTATAATCACTACAGGAAGAAATGAGGAACACTTATGTGGGTCACATGAAAGCACTAGGAATTTCAAGCATGATATTGCTATTACATACTTTCTGCAGACCTCAAAAATATCTCCATAAGCAATCTTCAAAGCTGCCAAATAGTGTTGCAGATTAGGATTTGAAAACAGTGAAGCAGTTTCAAAAAGCAAAATCAGGCTGGAGAGATTGCCTAGGACTTCAGGGTGTACTATATCTCCAGTGACCTGTGTGCCCCATTAGTCTTTCACTTGCTCAATATGAGAACAAATTGTACTGCATTACTCTGCTGAAATGAAACAGTGCAGTTTAAACAGAGCTTTGAAAAAAATGCACTTAATTTTGGCCTAAGCACTCACCTGTAAGTTAGAGAGAGTACGTGAGTGTGTGTGCACACACGTATATGTGTTTGTGTGTGAAAAGAAGCAATTCTAAGAACTTAGATTAATACTCTTTAGGTTTCTTTGATCTTTCTTGACTTTTCAGTAGTTTGGCTGAGACAAGACAGAATTATTTCTCATAGAAACTGGAAATATAACTGGACCAACAAGGACACTCTTACACCAAAAAAAGGCATTTTTTTCAAAGAGAGAGCTGAGGTCAATTTTTACATGAAATTTAGATTTAATTTTAAAAGTATGAGTTTCCATAACATTCTAAGCTAAGCAGAAATATTTCCTTGCATTTTTTTTAGTTCCTCCAAAATATTTGTAACCCTAAGGGGGCTTTATTGTGTGAATGTGTGTGAAATGGTTTAGAATCAAAAGTGCAACTGACCAGTCATTGTCAGTCTCCACCCTAAACAATATGCAAAGGGGAAAGAAATATCATCGAAAACTGAAAGGTAGTGAGTTATTTTAATATTTAAAAGGATATCCAGGTCCCACTGAAATCAACAGCAAAACTTTCATTGAGTTCAGCAGGGAAAGGATTTCAGTCACCAATTAAAAGAAAGGAAGAACAACCATAATCTCTTCAAATTAATAAGGAAATACAATTTTAAAAATACAACTTGTTTTTTTTTGGAATGGTCTTTTAAGATTATGCTGGTGACAGCTTAGGGTGTACAGAGATGCTTGCAGAAAAATGGAATGAAGTTTTACCTGGAATGAAGTTATTGCGTTCAGTCTGAATTATAGTTTCTCAGAAAAAGCTAAATTAATGTTTGTTTTGTTCTGTTTTGTATGTAAGTGAGTATACACATATCTCTGATGCTCCTCATTTCTGCCAGGACCAGAATCAGTAGGCAAGAAAAGGTGTTGTAGTATTTCACAAAGCCAGACAATATCCAAAGTCTCTCACAAGAGCTTTTCTCCTGAGATTTCCTGACAACAGGGTTTTAGATAAATGCAGATAAGCCTTGTATAAGTATCTGAACTTTGGAAGGCTTATCTGAACCAAAACATCTCCAAACTTCTGGCATTCGGTCCCACTAGTTAGTGTTTTTTATACACATGCCTCTCCACAAGAAGGTACCCATGGCTGTATTTTGCTGCCCTCCTTACCTCAGTTCCTCAGAGGGGTTGGGATGAGCTGACAATCCCTTCCAGGGTCAGTGTTTCCATAAGCACATGGAGCATCTGGAGCAATACGGAGAAAAAACTCTTAGCGCACCCTCATCTTCCAGTTCCCAGGCGGCATTCCCATGAGACTATGCCCAGTAACTCACGTGCATCCCTAAATTTAGATTCCACTCAGCACTGGCACGGTAGCACACTGGTCTTACCAGGCCTGTTTTCAAGTGCTGCGTTGTTAGCATGTTTCTGTTATCTCCCCTCCCCCTGTTGTCCAAGAATTAGTTGACGTCCCATGAGAATAACACAAAGACATTGTCAAAGCTGGTAAAGGCAATTCAGATTGAAACACCTCTTTCTTGGTCTCAGTTGAATCTTACTTGGATTTCTACCGGTGTCCTCGGTCCCTCACCTCTTATTCAGAAATAAATAATTCCATCTCAGATGTTTCTTTGCTTTAGGGCTGTTCTCTTTGCTTCAGTCACTTCCCAAGAAAACTATTCTACACTGCTGCTTTTTTTTCCCCCAGGAAAAAATTTTTACCTGAATTTCCCATTCAGTAGCACATCACTGCTTTAACTCACACTTCTCAGGCTCACTGGATTCCTCCTTGTACTACATAAAGCTCCACTTCTGTGTAGAGTCTACAGAAAAAAACTTGACTAAATGCAAAGTCCATTGCTTGTCCTGCTGACTGATTCTGTCATCTTGTACTCTGCCACCTGCATATACCCCTATTTCATTCCTCTAAAGGCATTGCAGGCTTTTGAAGGTGAGGTCTTTTTGTACACATATCTCTTACACCCTGTATGTAAAATGTGGTTCAGGACTAGTGCTCCTAGTGAAAAAATAGCATTAATTACATTATCAAGAAACAGTAACAATAACAATAGATATTTCAATAGTCAATTGCACTTGAATTCCATATTGTAGTCAACCCTGAAATACGTTGTGTTTCCTTGCATCACCCACTGTTCGCACATATTATGATTCCTTTTTATGCAGCTGGTCCATGGACATTTGTAGTCCTGTTACAGTTCCTAGCTAAAAAAATAAGTACTTTCAATTAACAGATGGGGTCAAAAGACCTGCGTAATTTCCTATTTAATTATTGGCTCTGCTTCTTAATTTAGCTGTGTACATATCTGGAGAAACCCCACTGCATTTACTGCTTCAGAAATTACAATTTTTGCTGGTGTTAAATATACACTTAATATGCAACTATCTAAATGTGAGCTACTCAGATTGAGAGGAAATAAATTTATTCAAGAAATGGGATTGCTTCCTTAAATCAGAAATAGCTCTTTCCATCCATTTACCAAGTCCATCGTTCTTATTTACATAAACTTTTGTCAGTAGTAGCTGTGAAGGACATCAATGGGGCTAGATGCAGCTGAGATGTGAATGGAAGCCCTGTGACTGTTTTTCTCAGACTTGACCAAGAGTGCATATCTTGCATTGGGCAGTGTTAATGGCAAATAGGGGCCACAGCCCTTTAATACGTCTATGTAATCATCCTCTAGAAAATTCATAACGAACATAGATGTTTCTAGGCTCCCTGGACACTCTGAATATTGCAACTTGAGAGCTTGATGGAAGAAAATTATGTCAGTGGAATTAATTGGCAGAATGACTTAGCAATAAAAACTCTGCAGCCAGGATGTAGTCTCCTTGCGCTTTAGGTTATTTGCAGTAAAAAATCCTGCTACTTCCTGTACATCCTCCATACAAAACTCCGCTTCTCAAAGCTCCATGTCTCCGCTCATGGCTCTCAAGACACATATGGCTCTGAACCTTGCTATGAATCTTGGAGCAGATTTCACGTGGCTTAGCTGGGCCCCAGAAGCGTGCAAAATGCTACAAATTCAAAGGCAGAAATGGTCTCTGATTAAAGAGAATCTTGTTGGTTGTAAGGACCTTGGGCTTACAAATTATTCCTGTGCATCACCTAACACCAGAAGTATAAGGAAGCAAAAAAATTAATCCAACTAGAAGAGTGGAGCTGTTAACAGCTCCACCAGAACTAAGGCACTCAGAAAAAAATGGAAATCACAGAAGTACCAGCAGCACTTCAGTCTCTAGTTACTAGGAGTAAAGGCTAGTGGAAGGAAGGCAGAAGGAAGCTTTTTTTCTGACAGTAACTGATAGACTTGATATGTTTAACAGTTTCGGTTAAATCAGGCAGAGTAAGCAACAAATTAAACAACATTTTAGAAATTAGAAGAGTTGTACATTGCATGTGAAAATGAAACACTGAAAAGTCATAGGTGGCACAGGACAGTGGAGCTGAGGAACAGCTTGTGTGTAATCTGAGGCTGAAGAGTCTTCCATTTTGAGGAGGCAGCCACGGTTCCTAGCATGAGTCTCTGGAACAGCACGTCAAACAGAGAAAGAGCGAGACTCCTGGGAACCTTAGAGATAGACAATAACAAGAATATTAACATATACAGGAAAATGACACCCCAAACAAGCTTGTGGAGGATGAGCACTACTCTGATGCTCTATACATGCTTTAGAAACCTGAGTATCATAAAGCACACTCACAAAACAAAGGAATTTGTAACTTGAAGTCCAGTATGCTCAGGGTTTCAGCAGGGAGAATTAAGCACACAAAACACTGGGAGAAACATTCTGTAAAACTCATGCACGGATTTTCTGTTTCATTTTGTCAAGACAATAACAAGGGAAACTCATTGAACAAATCTGTTTAAAACAAGAAAAAAGTGGAACATGTGAAGATGGTGCTTAACATTAAACACTATTGTCAGAAAATCAGCAGAAGTATGGTTTGGGGAGACTCTGAATATTGGTAAATACATTGCCTCCACGATAGGCAAAATAACTTTATTTATGAAAACACCATGGACAGATTGTGGAATTCATGTACTCTATGAAAATAGCAATTTTTCTATCAAACATACACACATTTTGTTTTGGTTTAGGAAGCATGCTGTGCAGTATTTCAATTAATTTTCTTCATTCACTTTTTGTATATTTTTTGTCATGCAGAAGAAAAGTCGATTGTGGTAGCTAGAGAAGTGAAAAGTAAGTTTCTTCATTTTTTCTTTATCTTCATGCTAATTTATGCAAGCAATAATAGCATATTTGCTTCTTGGATCTGCTGGCTTCAGAAAATATTCCTATACCTTAAATATTTTTCAAGTAAAGAAAAGACTTTCATTTAAAGGCTTATGGTCCTGTGTTTGTGCCATTTTGTATGGTAATACAACTTGGTTTCTTATCCACATTCATAACAGTAAAACATCACAAAAAGATAACTATAGTTGCACTAACTACATCAACACCGAAAGCCATGCAGCACAACTGAAAGTGATAAATTTGGCTTTTTGTGGATGAGCAGTTAAACAAAGCATTTAGATTAGCTATTCTTGTACTTTTGTATTCTTCCCCATCAAAATGGGGATTCATTTCCCAAAGGAAAAATAAGAACTATAGCTTCCTCATTTCTTCTAATGAACTCTCAATTTTCTAATTAATAACATTCATGGAATAAGTAATTAAATTGTTGTAGCTTTTTGTAAAAAAGCAAGAACATTATCCTTATTTCTACTGTTGTCCAATTAATTGACAAAATAGAGGCAGATGCTTTTAAAAGAACAAGTCATGTTCTTTTGTAGATGATGCTTTCACTGCAATTCTCCATGAATAACAGAAGTCCTGTTATGACAGTTTCAAAGGTTCAATTCATAAAAAGTGTAATAAAGATATATTATATGTGCAGGCTTTTCATAGCATTCTGCACTTATTCCCAAGTACCACTTGCAAGTTTTGCTGCCATTCAGTCAGATTTTATAAAAGAAGGGGAACAGGTGCACGGCTACTGAATCACTGCAATAAACTCTTAGTTATACCAGGTTAATGGGCATAATTTCTTGAATTAGTACTTATTTAAGTAATTACCTGGTGTACATACTGGTTTCAGTTCTATCCTTAGCGCCACATTCACTCTCTGACTATTAAGCTGTATTTCTGAGCTGCTGATGGTAAACTCCTAAATAAGTGACCAGCTTCAAAACTAGAACCTATTGCAGTTAGTCAAGGATTCCCATCCCAAATATATATACATACATACATACATACATACACACATTTCCTTCATTCTATTTCCTTTTTTAGAGAGAAAAGAGGAAAAGAAAAAGGCTGATGTAAAGAGGGTTACGACTGAAACTAAGAAGAAAGGTATGGTTTGGGAATGTTTCTTATTGGCCTCATTCAGCTTTTACTCCCACTCCTGGCTCAAATCCCACTGTTTTTTGTTAGTTTAATCCTATGCTTCTGGCTCTGTATTGTCCTTCCCTTAGTTGCTTAGTCACTATTTGCATGTTACTGCTTCTTCAGTATCTGATGTCTGATGTGTTCAGTGTCTGATATTTTCTAAACTCTTTTTCTGAAAAATAAGAAGTCCTGTTTGGTGGCCATCTATGGGCTTGTTAAATAATTTAATGGACTCCCTATATATAGCAGGACATAGTGATACTGCCATACACAAAACTCATGGGAGATATCACTTGGTTAATGGTGCACCGCTTTCTGAAGGTGGGGTAGATTTATTTATTTATTTTACAGAATCACAACCAAAACTTGCAGTGACCAAACTGCAAAGCCTTGATATCCATCTAAATAACATTTTGGATCATTCATTCCCAGGAAGCATCTAAAGTCCACTATGGTCTTGCTTTCATGGGAAAATATTTATGTCATTCATTAGTTTTTAATGATCTCATTGCTACTGGAGCTTAAGCTAAAAGGTACCACATTCACGCACTGATGATTTTTGCCTAGCCTTTGATGAATTATTAAGGGTCCAAATCATCCATAGTTGATGCATACCGATTAATTTTCATTTTCAGCTGATTGCTCTGTGGCTAGTTGGATGCAAGTGCTATAAGGGAATAATCTGAACTAAACTCCCAAATAAGTCACTTTTTTTTTCAGCATGTGCCCACCAGGACTTGGCTGACTGCATATTTGAGTGTATGATTCAGAGTTCTAGCACATCAAATTACTTTCTTTAATTAAATCTTAGAAAAAGAAGGAAAAAAAGAGAAAGCTCATGAGAAGACAGCTGTCCCTGAAATTAAAAAAGCAGGTAAGAAATTGAAGTCTATCTTTCTCTGCAATAGGTATCTGACTATTTAGTGTAAGCACTTTCAGGTTTTAAGCATTTGAGATAGGGGTGTACGTAATTCATTATCACTTACGAATCCGAGAGAGAGAGAGAGAAATCTCACAGTATATTTTTATATGTTTATGTGTGTAATGTGTTTCCATTATATTACATTATATAGATACAGTATTTTATGCATATTATATATGCATATACATATGTATATATATAATACATGTAATTTTTAATTCTGTGAGCTTGGGATTTTTACAAAAAATATTAGAAACTGCTTTCTTTTATACACTAAATCAATCAAGAGCATAAGTAGTTTCAAAGGATGCATGGCATGGAAAGACTGAATGAGGTGCATAGATTTTTGCATTAATTATTTCACAAATTCAGCTCATTTTAAGTAATAAATAAAAACATTAACATAACAAACCACTTAATGTAGTAGAAAATAGACAGTTATCTTTCTGAGGCTTTATCCATGCCCAGAAAATAATTTTTTAAAAAGTTAAAATAAAGTTAGTGAACGTCCTGAACCTAATCAATTGTGTTTCATGCTATTTAGTGTAAAAAGATAAAATTTTCCAAAAAATTAGAAATTAACATTTGGGTCTTGTCTACACTAAAATTGTTGTAACTTTTCTCTCCTGTTACTTCAGTAAATTTGCAAGTATGTTTAATGCACAAATGCAAACGTATCTCCAGCAAGTGACACAGTCTGTGAAACTGCCTCATTAAAATCAAGCCTCATTAAAATCAAGGAGAAACAAAATGGTCAGTCTAGTGGTTTGATTAGAAATTAACATTTGGGTCTTGTCTACACTAAAATTGTTGTAACTTTTCTCTCCTGTTACTTCAGTAAATTTGCAAGTATGTTTAATGCACAAATGCAAACGTATCTCCAGCAAGTGACACAGTCTGTGAAACTGCCTCATTAAAATCAAGCCTCATTAAAATCAAGGAGAAACAAAATGGTCAGTCTAGTGGTTTGGTCACCATCTTAATACCTAGAAACACTGGTTCTACTTGCTGCTTTGTCAGACACTTTATATATAACCTTCTACAAGCCACCAAGCACTCAGATTAACCTTTCTGTAGACTAGGGTAATGCCTAAAACCATGGAGAAAGGTTTAAAATAGGATTGAAAGATTCAGGGCTATAGTTACTATGTCCTCAGGGCAAGCCTTGTGCTCTGTTATCTAATTATTCAAATCTGTTGAACAAAAGCTGAAAGGATATATATCCCATTGTTTACTAACATTGTGGATTACATATGCAAATTTCAATATGCAACTGGTTTCTTTGCCATTGAGTTGTACATGGTCTACATAAGTTTTCCTATTCAAGTGTTTATGGATGGGAAAAAAAATGTTCATTTATGTTTGGTACAATAAAAAAACCCACAGAATGATACAGAATACCTTGGAGTACTATCATGGTAGTCCTGTATTTAAATATGCTTCAGTCTTTTATAGTAGGGAGTGGCACACTGGGGAAGGGATGGGGATGAAAAGGAATACTCTTTTCCAAATTAAGTTGCATATTTAAATGTATAAACACAGATTTAAGAAGAAAATAAGCTGACAATTCAAATATCTTTTCTAATTTTATTCTGGTTCTAAGCTTGTATTTCACTTGAGAATACAGAATTGTAAAAGATTACATTTTATGACAGAGCTGCAGCATAAAGTTATTAATATGTTCATCTTCACAAGCTGTTGCTAAATCCAGTGAGTCATCCTACCAGTGCTAGAAAGACACAAATTAGACAAACCGAGGCATCCGCACATTTCTGTCCCTTTTATTAGCTCTGTATGTTGCTGCATTTTGAAGAGTTTACTAGCCTTTGTGTAAGAGGATGGTAATCCATAATATATTCTAGCTACACATGTTGCTGTTATTCCTCATTCAGCTTGCTCTTTGAATGTATGTGTACTTTCTGGCTTTGATTGGCAGCACCTATTGTTATCCCTAAAAGGTTTTAAGCCTGAAATAATTGCCACATTTGATCAAGAGAATACTAGTGCATAGCCCAGTTTTGAAATGAGGCACCTCAATGTCTGATAGTATTTACATGCTTTGGGCAGACACAACAAATGAACCTCAGTGCTCAAATCAGCAGCGTAGATAAGCATCCAAAAGTAAGAGTGTAGGAACACCTTCCAATTTTCTTACCTTTTCCCATTGAAAGGCTAGGCAGAGGCCACTGCATTAAAAATAAACTCCTCGCCCTGGTTTTCAAATCCTCGCGTTACCTCTGGATGCCTCTGATTTTGTGTCTCATTTTGCTTCCCTCAACCTTTGCAATCCCTGAAGCCAAGGTGCATGCAGGGCATGCTGCCTCCTCACCACCACCCGCACCCATCCCCTTGCCAGCAGGCAGCTCCTTCTGCCAGGAGCTGGCTGCCTGGCACCCCGGTCCCACCTCTGCTGCTCACCCTCACGTACCTCCTCCCAGAAGACTCACCTCTGACAGGAGGCCTGTTAACCAGGCTTTCCCCACAGACGAACAATGGTGTGTACAGGCTGTCAGGCGCAAGAGAGGGAGAAAGGAGGAGATGCTCCGTAAGCACTAGGTGATAAAAACATCTCCAAAATAATGCTCTGAGCACAGCACTTCCTTCTATTTCCCCCTATCTCTCTTGCTCTAACAAGGAATGCTTGTGATTGCAAATACTGAATATTTTTGCTGATTTATATTTTAGAATAGCCCTTTTGTCCAGGAGACAATTTTATCTCTAGTGTTACCAGAATGAAGTTTTATATTGCTCTCCATTAATTGCATCCCTGTGATGTATTTGTTTATTTGCATGCCAGCTCACTCTTTCTCTGTTCCTCTCTTCCTCCATTCCTCTCTCTCTCTCTCTCTCTCTCTCCCCCTCTCGTGCTGCAGAGGAGCAAGAGTCATCTAATGTGAAATGTTCTCAGTCTTTAGTACAGAGTGAACTGAATAATTCTTAATTAGCTTTTAAAAATGCATTGTAGATAAAACCACATTAATCCTCTGACCTTCAGCTCGTACAAAAACGTTGTGTTAATTGTCCTGAAAAATAGATAATTCCATTGTTACAGGCTCAGAGGTCTTGCTTAAACAAACATAATTGTCAGACACAAGGGTCTGGCACAGTCACACTTCAAAACATTTTACAAAAATCTATCCAGCACTACTCTGGATAAAGAAGGAGCTGCATCTCCAAATCCCCATGAATGGGCTTGCTGAGCCTCAGCAGAGGCAAGTCTTTGCACCGGTCTCCCAAAGCTCCCAGTGGTTGGGATGCATCAGTTTGGAGAGGTCCAGCCTGCAATCTGACTGAGAAAGGGGACCCTCTCTGTTACAGCTCCCGTACCCAGCCCTCCATGAAAATGAATATGCGGAGTTTTGCATATTGGCATTTTCAGGTACACATAGGTTGCTTGCAGAGTGTTTCCTGATGGTCCTTTTCTCAGAGTCTCAATGGTCTGGAGCTTCTCTGCTCCTTCTTGTATCAGCTTTCCTAAAAATTCATGATGTTCACACGCAGCCTTTGTCTTTAAGTTTGATTGCTGCAAACTCCTTTCCCACTTTGTTTTGGTTCTCACAACAAATAACTTAGGTAATAAATCAGCTTATAAAGCAATGAAAATGTCAGCCTGGATCATCACACCATTTCCTAACTAAAGCTCTGCTCAGCTGTCATTGATGATCTTGCCTTCCTGTTATTGCTGCATAATTTCAAATAATAACAGTAATAAAAATACCTAGGTCTTGTGCAGCATTTTTGGATAGTAAATTTTAGAACCACTTTAGAAGGATAGTCAGTGCCTTTTCCTCTACTTTCCACACAGGGAAATTCAGGTATAGACATATCACCCAAGCCAGTTGTCCACAGGGCTTATAATATATAGCTTCTGAACGCCAAACCAATGCTAGCTGGATTAAAGATCCCCAACTTTTATACACTTTCACTATTTCACTAATGAAAAACCAGGGACACCAAACAATGCAAGTGATGCTTAGGAAGAAAATGTTTTTGCTTAAAAACATAAGGCCTGATCAGCTGGACAAGTGTTCAAGAATCCCTA